AATATCGTTTTCCTTCATTGCTTTCGTAAGAAACAATTATCTTCCGGAAAGAAAAACTGCATGGACTATGAAGAATTTTACTTGGTTTCTGTTACGCAGTCTAACATATCAAGGTAATTAAAAACAACAGCATAACAATTATTATTTTCGAAAATAAAGAAATTACTTTTCTCTATAATATGAAAGTTAGTAAAATTACATTCAAAATAGAAAATAAAAATCTTACATACATAGAAATTACAAATATTAACTAATTCTTTTTTTCGAAAATTGTATACAGTACATTATCTATTGTCTGTCACTAGCTTGTTTGACTCGTCAAGTATTTAGACATTCCAACGTAAAAATTGAGTAATTAGGTAATGCTGAGTAAGTATATAAGTCTACAATTGTTGTAATCTCTGGTTTTATAGTTTGTTTGTATCGGGAATTCTACAGAATAATTTTTTATAGTAAGTCGGGCCTTATTTAGTGTATTAACATGTCTTTCAGAACACCAATTTAATTCTTATTTATTATCAAACACACTTTTCATGCTGATTGCGAGAAAAATAGTTTTATAATGCTTATTTTTTTCATAATAACGATAACTGTAACAAAAAATCAAACGCATATAATAATGTTTCATAACTTCAAGTTAACTAACTGGTACTTGTGGTCTTTAATAATTTTTACAGGAGGAAAAATTGATTACGATAAAAGCACTTCATCAAGACTTATAATTGGAATTTGGTTGCTAGCAATAACTGTTCTAATATCAGCATACGGCGGGATTTTGTTTTCATACATGACATGTCCTATTTACGAAGAGGTGCCGAAAAATATCGAACAATTAGCCATTGCAGTGAAAAACGGGGAATATTCTTGTGGAACATTGTCAAATTCGGCATTGTCAGAGCTCATGTTGGTAAACAATTTAAAAGAATGTTATAATTACTGTTAATTCCTATGAATATATGTTTTAAATTTCACAAAAAAAAACCTTAATTATTTTTATTTTTAAAGAAGATACATACTTACACCTTCACAATTATAATTATTTATATATCATTTACAGAGGAAAAGTGAAGGAATGGTAACAATTTTAAGTGAGTATATAAGCAGTCATCCAGAGAAAAGTTTTTCTACTTTTCAAGAAGGAGTTCAACACATGCTACATCATAAATATGCGTATATCACGTCAGCATATTTTTTCGCTACCTTAAAAATGAGAGCAAATTCATTTGTCATTTTCGAAGATTTATTCATGTCTTATTCAATTGCATTTCCAATGAAGAAGAAATTCAAGTTTAAGAAGAAATTTAATAAAATGTAAGCATATTTTTGATATCGAAGATGCTTGAATGCTTACGTTATTAATATTATTCCAGTAGGATATGTCTTCGGTTCCATAGACCTTAATTTAACGAACAAAATTTCCTGTTATTTTGCCATAAGTATATGTTTATTTTTTATTTTAAAATAATTTTTGTATATGTAATTAATATGTATGTAAGGGACTTTCTTTCGTCTTTAACAGAAACTTTCTCGCGCGAATTACTTATTTAAATTTAGATTTTAATGTAATTTCCAGAGTAAACCCAGTAAGTTATGTATTTTTAAAGGTTTATTTTATAACAAATGCAGATTACCATCAAACGAATTTGATTTTAAATTTATTAGGAATTTCTAAAACAGCGAGTACAAAGTGTAAATTTATAAAATGTACAAATTCCTGTAAATATGTTGTCTTAAATCGCCATTTTATTCATGAATTTATCGATGTAGTCAATACTTTGATGTGTTGTATATTGGAGAACTTCATCAAATAGTATCGTGTCTTTTTGCAAAACTAAAATACCGCTTTAATTATGAACTTATTAAATATAAAAGCAACCAATTGAATTTTAGAAAAGATAAACGGTTTGTCCTAGAAATTGTGTATCTGTATTTCTTATAATAGAATTATAAATTCATACGTTGAGAAAAAAAAAAACAATTGTAGCTGAAGTTTCTCCGGACTGCCCATTAAATGTGTAATTGCAAAAACATTTTTACATGATAAAAAGGAATAACCATTTTTCACACATGCAATAAATCCTGTTACAATTTTTACTTGTTCTTCTTTGCGAATCTGAATTTTTATTGTACAAGTAAAGCAAGCAAGAAACGGTTTTGATGTTTAACCTTAAAGTTATCGTGTTAAATAAACTAATTTAATGTATATGTAAGCGTATATATATATATATATATATATTTGTAAAATTAAAAAAAACACTGTTAGAAATTTAAGACCAACGTCACACAACAGAAAGTAGAATGCTGTAAGACATAGGATGTAAAGACGTGCGAGTGATCTATTTTGAGAAGAGTTGCAGTTTCATATTACTGTGAATTACATATATGCACTGTAAATTACGATAATTGTATTAATTTCTATGTAAAAATTATCAATATTCTCTACTTTATATATTTATTTTTTCGGTTTATTTATTCAGGTTATATGTTTTAAATTTCACAAAAAAAAACCTTAATTATTTTTATTTTTAAAGAAGATACATACTTACGCCTTCACAATTATAATTATTTATATATCATTTACAGAGGAAAAGTGAAGGAATNTGCATCATCCAGAAGTCTTACTCAATTCGAATCAGCAAAGTTGCATAGCGTTATATTCTCGGAGACATCTGTTAATTTAAATTTCAATATACCCATTTACTCACCTTTTCTATTGTAAAATGAGTTGAATTCACACAGTTGTTATCTAATAGTGTAGAAGACCATCCTGAGTGTTGATTCTCTTCAACTATTCATTGCTCAGCATTACACTAATTACACTGCACACAGAAAACTTCCAGACTTATACTAAAGAAGTCAGGAAAATTCCAGGAACGTTTGCATTAACCAAATAGATTATATATAATAAAAACTTAACTATGATCTTCGAAATTTATACCATATTTTATACCACAATACTGTATTTTCCAATTTAATATATTACTTTAATTAACATTGCAAATGAAAATCAAGCTAAATATTCATGTTTTCGGTTTTTCATATGAAGCTTCAGAAAGCCAAATCTCGAAATTTGATAACGTTTACAATGGATTTTAAGGCTATTATTTTTTAATCATAAAATCAACCCGTGAAGCAACAAGTCGCCTTTGTAAAATCATCTATGAATTGAAAGGAACAATTAGAACGGAGAGTGAAAGCACACATTAGGTTCTACAGAAAAACAATATAGAAACCAGAAATGGAGAATCGATGTCGAAGTTAGAAGTCGAACTTTTTTATGATGGCAGAATCATTTCAGCTGACTCTCCATCTCTGAAAGAAGCAAACACAAAGTTCAAGAACCTCTGCTTGTCAATATTAACTTAAAATTTGGCTTCAAAAAAGATATTTTCCAGCTAATTTAAGACAGTGTTTAATGTCTTAACATATATTGATACAAAGTTAGTCAGAAATTTTTTTTCTGTCAGAACTTATATATTTCATTTTATCTTATGTGTCGAAGAGTAGTTATACTTTATTTAATAAATATTATTTTCTATCATTTGTGATAAAATTTACTTTTCTATTTAAATTGTTATAGTTTTAAGCATTTACCATTAAATTATGATTAAATTTTCATGTAGAACACGAGTCAGCCAGAAATTCTACTAAAATAAAAATTACTACTTTGGCAGTAAGTAATTTGTCATCTAAAAACAATAAGGATATAAACAAAACTTTTATATAAAATTGTTTAAATAAATTTGTAGATTTCTCCTTATTGCGAAGTTTATACGAGAAATAATCAGTTAATTGTTGATGGTCCCGATTTTAAAATATTAAGCATAGTTGCTCAGAAATTAAAAAACATCAAGTAAGTAAAAAAAACAGTTTATTAACCGTAAATAAGGTATTTTTACGTGTAAATATATACTGATTTTTAAAGGTTCGAAATCATTCAACCCATTGAAAAGAAATTTGGAAGTAAATTAAAAGATGGATCATGGAATGGTATAATGGGAAGAGTGCAGAGAAAAGTAAGATAATACTATATATCATATATTATTTTCATTTAAATAAAGACAGGTTTATGTTTCGCTATAGAAATAATTACAATTATAATATGTTCAAACAATAACATTTTGATTAAAATGTAAAAAATAGATATATTAAACATGAAAAATTGTCTTCATTGTTTGTTATATATAATTGCCAGCGTAAGTGAAAAACAATTAAAACATTTTCTCTGCGAGGGAATACAGATTTTGTTTCTGTCATTTAGACACGATAAAAAGGATAATGACTTTGTTTAAATATAATAAATATACGTATAATTATACAGTAGAGCGTCGATTTTCCGAATCAATTGGGGACTGGGGTTGTCCGGATAACTGATATTTCGGATAACTGATTTATGTACGAAAAAATAGTTTAACGTATCCGATGTCGAAATTTTTATCCGTTGCGTGTCGCTTCACTTTGAATTTTCGTCAATGTTAAGCCTAACAATGACTATTGTAGCGTTAAAAATTATTTTTTTATTTTGTACGAACAAAATAAATATATTGAAAAATATAAAAATAATAAAAAATTATACTTCAGATGTTAATCTAGTATCAAAAAACGTAAAATATTTGAGTAGCCCAAGACATAGCCAAAGATTGAACCGCCACAGCACTGGCGAAAATTTAAATTTGCCGACTGAAATTCTTTCGGATGATTGACGTTTCGGATGATTGACGTTTCGGATGATTGACTTTCGGAAAAT